CCTGGGGGTGCTGAGCCTGGGGGTGCTGGGCCTGGGGGTGCTGGGGCTGCAGGTGCTGGGACTGAGGGTGCTGGAGCTGAGGGTACTGTGCCTGAGAGTTTGCCGCCTGGGGGTGCTGAGCCTGGGGGTGCTGCGACTGGGGGTGCTGAGCCTGCGGGTACTGAGCCTGCGGGTACTGAGCCTGGGGGTGCTGCTACTGAGCCTACGGAGCCTCGGGTTACTGCGTCTGGGGGTGCTCCGGTTCGGGGTGCTGAGCAGTCTCTCACACCGCAGCAGCTTCGTGACTGGTACGTCCGACGCTTTCGCCGTCCCAGTGGCTCGGCTGGAGTTGGGGGTGCTGGAGCTGCTCGTCCTGGGGGTGCTCGTACTGGGGGTACTGGAGCTGCCGGGACTGGCTGTTCTGGGAGCACTGCGACTGGAGCTGCTGGAGCTGGGGACTCTGGCGCTGGCGGTGCTAGCGGAGTTGGAGCTGCTGACTCTGGGGGTGGCGCTGCTGCTGGTGCTGCGGACCCACCTGGTGGAGCTGCTGCTGGTGCTGAGGAGTCGGACGGTGGAGCTGCTGCTGGAGCTGGGGACCCGGCCGGTGGAGCTGCTGCTGGTGCTGTGGACCCGGACGCTGGAGCTCCTACTGGTGCTGAGGACCCGGCCGCTGGAGTCCCTTCTGCTTCTCGAGACGCTGCGCGGCCGCGACCGTACTTCGTACCGCTCCTTCAGCAGGTTCTTGGGCAAGCTCCTCCTCCTTGTCCTCCTCCCTCCGTAGAGTGTCCTCCGCCTGTCCAGCCGCAGTCACAGTTACCGCCTGCCTCGCCTCTCCCTGCTCCCTCTCCTTATACTGGTCCCACAGGAGGTCTTACAGAGCGTCGTGAGCCTGAGTCTCGTCCTGCGTCGCCTGTTCGTCCTGCTCGCACTGCTAGTCGTGTCCGTCGTGAGCGTCCTCCTCCTGTCCCAGGCACTCACTACATGACTCTGCGTCCCTCTACTGCTCCTCGGCGTGTCCCTCTACCGTCTCCTCCTGCGTCCTCTTTGCCTGCCGTTCCGGACCCTGAGTCTGACCGGTATCGCGCTGAGCACCCTACAGTCACGCGTCTCCTCGCTACTGTTGTCACTGACCCTACCTTTGAGTCCTCGGCTGCGTCTGCTCTGGTCGCTGAGTTGGTTGACTTTGCTGCTGCCTGTCGTCTAGACTACGCTGCTAGCCTTGTTGCTGAGTCAGAGTCTGCGTCTGTCTGTCCTCCGTCCGTCGGGGGTGAGTGTGCTCTTGGCACGGACGTCCTTGAGGACAGGCAGGAGGACTTTGACTCTCTTGCGGCTGCTGTACCTCATCTCGTGGCCTGGTTGCTTGCCCCTGAGGGAGACCCGGATGCACTAGACATCCCCACTCCGCGCACTTACGCAGAGGCGATCTCGGGTCCCTACTCCTCTCAGTGGCAGACAGCCATGGACGCAGAGATGGCATCCTGGAAGTCCACAGGCACCTACGTCGACGAGGTTCCCCCTCCTGGGGCGAACATCGTCGATGGCATGTGGATTTTCAGGGTGAAGCGGCCGCCAGGTTCTCCGCCTGTCTTCAAGGCTCGTTACGTTGCTAGAGGCTTCAGTCAGCGTCAGGGGGTCGACTTCTTCCAGACCTTCTCCCCCACCCCGAAGATGACCACTCTTCGGGTTCTGCTGCACGTTGCTGCTCAGCGTGACTACGAGCTTCACTCTCTTGACTTCAGCACAGCGTTCCTGCAGGGCAGCCTGCACGAGGAGATCTGGCTGCGCCGCCCACCTGGCTTTACTGGGTCGTTTCCCCCTGGTACCCAGTGGAGTCTCCGCCGGCCAGTCTACGGTCTCCGCCAGGTGCCACGTGAGTGGCACGACACACTGAGGACTACTCTTGCGGCTCTTGGGTTCGCGCCGTCTACTGCTGACCCGTCGCTGTTTCTGCGCACAGACACGTCGCTGCCGCCGTTCTACATTCTCGTGTACGTCGACGACTTGGTCTTTGCTACTGCTGACACTGAGGCACTCGCTCGTGTGAAGTCGGAGCTGCAGAAGAGACACACCTGCACTGACCTGGGTGAACTGCGTAGCTACCTTGGCTTGCAGATCACCCGGGACAGAGCTCGCCGCACCATCACCCTGACTCAGTCACACATGGTGCAGCAGGTCCTTCAGCGCTTCGGCTTCCAGTTCTCCTCACCACAGGCCACACCTCTGGCTACCAGCCACTCGCTCTCAGCTCCACCTTCGGACGAGTCCGTAGAGCCGAGTGGCCCGTACCCAGAGCTTGTAGGCTGCCTCATGTACCTGATGACTTGCACGCGACCTGACCTCGCGTACCCTCTTAGCATCCTTGCTCGTTACGTTGCGCCTGGGAGACACAGGCGAGAGCACTGGGAGGCTGCTAAGAGGGTGCTGCGTTACCTGTGCAGTACATCAGGCATGGGGCTGGTGCTTGGAGGACGCGACAGAGTTGTCCTCACTGGTCACTCGGACGCCTCTTGGGTGGACGACCTGGCTACGCAGCGGTCGTCACAGGGTTACACCTTCAGCCTTGGCTCAGGTTCTGTCTCGTGGCGGTCCACCCGCTCTTCCTCTGTTCTCAGCTCTAGTTGTGAGGCTGAGATTTACGCCACAGCCATGGCTGCACAGGAGTTACGCTGGCTCACCTACCTGCTGACTGACTTGGGAGAGCGGCCTAGTTCTCCTCCAGTTCTGTACGGTGACAACAAGGCGGCTCTTGCCTTGTGTCAGGAGCACAGACTGGAGCACAGGACGAAGCACATTGCTCTTCGCTACTTTCTTGCTCGAGAGCTTCAGCAGCGCGGTCAGCTTCGGCTTGTGTACGTGGACTCGAAGGCCAACACTGCTGATATCTTCACCAAGGCGCTCCCGCCTAGTGATCATCAGCGGCACTGTTCTTCTTTAGGCCTTGTGTCCACGTTTCCTCACTTGCTCACTGCTTGACATTCTTTGTACTGTACTTTATATATATCTTGTTGCTTGCTTGCTAGGTTTTGATCACTGTGTTGCTTGTCTTGTACTATATCTAGCACTGCATGTGAACTGGCCTTGTGGCCTTTACTTGTGCTCGGAGTGTGGTGACGTTGTGATCCACCCTGGGCTTTGTTTTGCTTTGCTGGACTGGTCTTGTGACCCTTTGTTCTCCCCCACTTTGCCTATGGGGGTGTGTTAAACTGTATTATGCTTGTAGGCTGTAGTGGGGTAGCCAATATGGGGTACAACCCCAACTAGGGTTTCATATTTGTACCCAAACTCCTGTTAGTTCATTCATTCTTGCCTAGTGATTCTGACATACACTAGCAGCCCATCACGCGAATGGAAACTATATGAAATTCCCGCCGAAATTGAGCCTGATTCTGGCTTTTCCCGCTCGCGTCAGAATATATCGACGAATTCTGAAGCAGGAACCTCTGACACACTCTCCGAAATTCTGACAGGTTTCCGAAATTCTGACAGACTCTCCGAAATCCTGACACACTTTCCGATTTTCAAGCTAATTGCAAAAACGTAAGTGTTGTGAAAACAATTGTTTATACACAATTGATATTCTGGTGCTCCTTCCGCAAACTGTTTGTACTTGTTTCTATCGTGCAGCCGGGGCAAACAAATCTATACCCCTTTCAAATGGCAGATAAATTTGAGAGCAACAACCTTAAACTTCTTGCGACCACGCGTTTATGGTTCTTTATTTAAATTAAGAAACATGTAATCTTCAAGAGGAGTATTTTTCCCACATGCAAAAATTCTCCAACCTTGCATTAATTATAAACAGTAAAATTTTCGAGGTCCTTTCGGGAATATTTTTTTAAATCGTTTTGCAAGTTCGCAATCATGCTATAGAAATTTTAGAAATTTACCATTTTTGTACGAGCTACATATATGTATAAAATGGCCCTGAAACTTTGTGGTCCGTGGTATTAGAACAAACGGGATCCTTCAAATTCGCGGCGAGACTTGTTCAAAAGAATAGTACTGTGCGTAAAAGCTTTCAAAATCCATAAATTCCTCTTGCTCAGGCTCCTTTCGGCGGGAACTTCATGTAGTTACCATTCGCGTGATGGGCTGCTAGTGTAGAGTTACCAAACGTGTTAAGCGAGTGACCAAACATGTTAAGCGAGTTACCAAACGCGTTAAGCGAGTTACCAATTGCGTTGAAATCGTTACCGTACGCGTTACAGTGCCCCATGTAAGTTACCATTGACATATTTTCCCTTGCAAAAAACAGGGTGCACAGCTCGGGCAACAGCAGCAGCACCAGCCACTCAACTGATCAACAGCTTGATGCTTGTACACTTTGCTGCTCTTCTGTAACAGTCAAGATGAGAAGAATGATGTGTACCACCGTCGGAGCGCATACTCGACCTGCCTTGCCATATTCCCAATTCGTGGTTTCGCCAAACACCTGGTATCATCAACAGCCTACTCGCCAAAGGTCGTATCTGGCTGTGACTGGGTCAAAAATTCTCGACACGGGAGTTAGCTGCGCTTCGTCCACACACGGACATTAATCGATGCTGTGTGGTTTGCGAATCGGCTGCGCCTCACCAACGCAGGGTCTAATGTCTCGGTGTAAAAAATTGCGATACAAGGCGACCACACAAGTCAATACACGAGAATGTTTGTCGAACATCCTTGTAAAAACACTTGCAGATGGTAAACGAATCTAGCACGGAATTTGTTTGGGCTTAGGCACAAGGGAAAAACGATTTACTGCAGGAGATTATCCTGCCATATTTCGCATATTTCACATCGCATATTTCATATTACTCTAAACGCTTCATCTTTCGCATCACATTCAACACATGCCATTCAAGCGCGCAATTAGGACTGCTGGCACGCATTTACAGTTTTGTGGTGATACGGGAAACACTGAGCAAAATGCCCACTACAGGAAACCCTGGGCACAGGAAACTGCGAATTGACGCAAAGGATGGAAAGGTATAGTCTAGATTCATAAATTAAAATAAATGTACAGGCAGGAAAATCAGAATCTAAGCACCGGGGGTGAAGTTGGTGGCATAGGCCCAGGCGTTGTTGACGGTGGGGTCAGCGAGGTGATCCGACAGGTTCTCCAGGGGACCCTTGCCGGTGACAATGGCCTGGACGAAGAACCCGAACATCGACACCATGGCGAGGCGGCCGTTCTTGAGCTCCTTCACCTTGAGCTCGGCAAGCGCGTCGGGGTCGTCGGCCAGACCCAGCGGGTCGAACGCACCGCCGGGGTACAGCGGGTCCTCCACATCCTGGAAGCCCTCCAAGCCTCCCACGCGGTAGCTCTCGACGGCGCCCATGAGGATGACCTGGGTGGCCCAGATGGCCAGGATGGACTGCGCGTGGATCAGGCTCGGGTTGCCCAGGTAGTCCAGGCCACCCTCGGAGAAGATCTGCGCGCCCGCCTTGAACCACACCGCCTCGCCGAAGTTGACGCCGTTGTTGGCGAGCAGCTCGGGGGTCAGGCAGCCCAGCGCGCCGAGCAGAGCCCAGCGCGCGTGGATGACCTGATGGAGCGGAGCCAAGGCGAAACGAAAGGGATGGTGAGTATGGGAAGTTCGCAACCGCAAGCTGGATCAACACTTTTTTTCCTTAATTCCGGAGCGGTTGCCTTTTCGCATGCTGGAAAAGTGGTTCAAGTGGTGACTTCAAGCTAAAATGGTTGCCTTCTCGCACTCGGGACATGTGATTTCAGTGAGCTGTTCAAAATGCGAAGGCTTACCTCGAGCTCGCGGTTCTTGGCGAACGTCTCGGGATCAGCGGACAGACCCGCCGTGTCCCAGCCGTAGTCACCGGGGTACTCGCCGGTGAGGTACGAGGGGGGGGGAGGTGAAGGGGCCCAGGAACAGGTTGCGGTCGGGGCCGTAGAAGGCGCTGCTGGAAGCCGCCTTGGCGGTCTTCCTCATCGTCACGCGGGCCTCGACATTGTTCACCTTGGCGGCGAGCTCGGCGCTCTGCCCAACGAAGGTGGACGGGAGCACAGCGGCGTTGGCGAGAGCAGCCATTTCGGACGAATGAAACTCTCGAAACCGAAGCTGCGGTTTGAAATTCCTGGGCTGACTGAAGCTGACTGCTACTGTGTGTTGTGATGGGCTTGTGCGACTGATGCCACTTTACAATTCAACTCGACGCGGCCTGTGGGTTTGAGCTTGGGGGGGTGAAGAGGGTATGCTGCCTAATCACGGGTCGCGTGCCTTCCCGTGCCTCTCTGAAATCTCCCCCCGTCTGTTTTGCTCCGACCCGAATCCACGCAATCTGTGCTTGGCCAATGGCGACGGGCAATATTTCCGCCAGAATTTGCTTGGTTGGTGTGGTGGGTGGAGCGCACGCCACCCGTTTGGCGAGAGCGTGGGCTTGTCTTCGCCAGGCAGCCCAAGCTATCGGGAAGAGCGTGACGCGCGACACGAACATACCACTCGTCACGTCAATACGTGTTTCGCCAATCGTCATCGTGGTCACACAGAAACACCCACAAAAGAAAATTCCCCCTTCCCTCGGTAAAAGCTGCCTCCATTATTGTCGAAAGAAAAGTTTCATTTTTCCTTGTACCTGTACTGCCTATGAACATATGGTAATTAATCTGTTACCTGTAGACTCCCATCAGATGAGTATGTGTAAATGGAACATGCTTGCCACTAATTACACTCCGACACACATCAGTTGATGAACCCTAAACTGGAATCTGCTCACCACTAACACATTTGGACACACATCAGTTGATTGAATATACACAGCACATCTTCAGTTCACACTAGTCATCCGTGACTCAAAGCCACGCCTGCACGAAGCAACTCTCTGCGAGCCCTTTCACCAACCTACCTACCTTGCTCCACATTTAACTCATGCAGCGTTAGGAATCTTCCCAGAAGCCCTCCAATGCCATCGCCAGTGATTGCATCGCACTCAAGCATGGTCAACTGCGTGAGCATCTTCAGCCTGCTTTTCTCCGGTCTGAAAGTCCTCACTGCGCTCCACGGTGAGAGCCACCAGCGCGGCGCAAGCACGCAGCAGCAGCGAGGCCCGAAGCACGACACCAGTGTGAGGCCCTTGAGCTGCCCAAAAGCAGCAGCGAGTGCAACGGATGTAAAGGACTGCGGCTGAGAGCTTGGGCTTGAAATGACAGCGAGGGAGAAGCGAAGAGTGGAGCGGGAAGAGAAGGACAAGGGAAGTGAGGAGCGGCCTGCAGGAGCGGAAGAGAGGCACATGAGAGGCGATTCAGAGGGAAGGGATGGAGGCAGCCAGGTAGGCTTGGGCGTGGTGCGGGTGCAGTGGAAGGCCTCAAGGGTGAAGGAGTGTAAGGGAGGGCACACCACCCCCACAGAGATCCCAGGGATGCCTCTCGATTTGCCTTCCATGCTTGGTGCCCTCCTGCCACGCCCCACTGCTTTTACGCTGCCCTTCACGTTCCTTCTGCCACTGTTGCATCTGCGGCCCGACTCTCCCCCTCCCTTGAAACTCTTTCCCCTTGCATCCCTCTTCCTTGTTGCATTGAAATTCCTCCTCCCCCTTGCTCCATTGTTGTGGCTGCATCACCGATCACCCCTGCCCCATTTGCTGCCCCACCTGCTGCTGCTGTTCCTGTGGCTGTAGCACTCTCTCCAGCAACCGCCACAACGCCCACAGTACCGGCACCATCAGCAGCATGAGTATCAGCAGCAGGAGCAACAGCATCAGCAGCAGGAGCAGCAGCATCAGCAGCATGAGTATGAGCATGAGCAGCCGTACGAGGCATGTGCATGGTCCTGAGGCTCTCAGTAGCCGCATCGCTCTGCTCGTAGAATGCCTGCAGCAGCGACTCCACACCCAGCGACTCCATCACACCCAGCGACTCCATCACATCCAGCGCCTGCACCTGTCGGTCAACCCCAGCAGCAAACACCCCACCCTCACTCTCATCCTCACTCGCTTCAGCACCATCAGCAGCTCCAGCAGCGTCAGCAAGCAAGTGATCATCCAGCAGCATCCCATCAAAGTCCTCCACTCCACACGAGCCAACGCCCCTTCGCTTGCGCCTACCCTGCTCCGTGCGTCCACAAACACGCCGGCCTTCGTGGCAGCAGCAAGCGCCTCACTCAGCGCATCCTCCCGCGCTGATGCCACGTTTTTCTCTGACACCGCCACTCGCAGCGCGCGCCATGTTGAGATGCCCCATCTGAGCTTACCAATGACGGATTTGATCTCCGGGACGGCATTGTCGCCCCGTGCCTGCAGCACGCGGGCCCAGCGAGCAGCAGCAGGCACGTGTGTGAAGGCATCCCTGGGCGTTCCCAAGAGAGAGACCACGTCCTAGCTTGCCCACACCAGGTCCGCCCGGGCTGTGCTGCTGCTGCTCGAATGTCCACATACACTCTCCCTTGTACGTTTCTAGAGCTAACTGCTCCTGGCGCTATTGCTGCTGCAGCCATAGTTGTGGTTTCACTCGCTCCCTCTCCCCCGTTGACCTCTGCTGCTTCACTGTCCTCCCCTATACCCCCCTCCCCAACCTCCCCTCCTTCCTCCCCTCCAGCCTCCCCAACCTCCCCTCCGCTCTGCACCACCTGCACCAGCATACCCACAAGGCTTTCCAACGTCACCCGTTGAAGCACCAAGGTCCCCTCCCCCTCCCCGTCTCCGTCCCTCTCTCCTCCTCCACTCTCTTCTCTCCGAGTGTGAGCATCCCCCCCACCTGGCGCTGCAAGTTTCTCCGGCATTCCTTACGCAGCGAGGGAGTGCACGCCACTGCAGTGCGCCAGCATGGCCGGGCGCAAGGACGACAGCCCTGAGAGCTCAAGCGCATGCAGGCGGGGCGAGGAGAGGCGGAGGAGACAGCGCAAGGGCGGGGCGCTGAAGAGGCGGTAGGTGGTGGCGTGGAGGGAGAGGGAGGAGAGAGGCGGGTCGGCTTGGACCAGCGCTGCAAAGGCATGGCATGGCTGGAGACCACGGGGCTGTCGTGAATAGTGACGTGGGTGAGCGTGTGGAGGGAGCGAGCGAGGGCGTGCAGGTGGAAGGGGTCAATGGTGCAGGCGAGGAAGGCGATGGAGGCGAGGCAAGGGTAGGACGTGATGGGCGCGAGGCAGGACTGGAGGTTGGAGGAAGGGAGGGTGAGGGACTTGAGGGAGGGGTTCACAGAGGAGGAGGAGGAGGAGGAGGAGGAGGAGGAGGAGGAGGAGGAGGAGGAGGAGGAGGAGGAGGAGGAGGAGGAGGAGGAGGAGGAGGAGGAGGAGGAGGAGGGGGAGGAGGAGGAGGCGAGGGAAGAGAGGGTGGAGGGAGGGGGGTTCCAGAGAGTGAGGGAGGTGAGGGAGGAGCAGCAGGTGAGGGGTTTTGCTTCGAGGCGGGGACGAGGAGAGCGAAGGAGCGAAGAAGAGCGGGGACGAGGAGAGAGAAGGAGCGAAGAGCGGGGAAGGCGTCGATGGGAGGAAGGGGGGTGTGAGTGGAGTTTCGGTAGATGATGCGGCGACGGGACAAGGGGGAGTCGAGTTCGAGAGATGTCAAGAGCCTTATAGGGGGGAATGGGAGGGGATGGGAGGGGATGGGAGGGGATGGGAGGATGGGAGGG